ACCTGGTGGCCACTATAAAATCGGCTTTTAAAGATTTTTTTTTTATATACGTTCATTTTTCGTGAAAAAATACTCCATTCAATTTTAGAACTATTTATTGTGCATATTTTTGCTCAATCAACTAAGTTGTTATTTCTATTATTTGAAAAGTTATGGCTTATGGCTTTGAAAAACATGATTTTTATTTAAAATAAATTTAGTGTTTTAAGCTGCTCTCGCAGTCTTTACACTGAAAACTAATACAAAAGCAATCTATTAAATGGAATTAAAAGATAGAAAATTTGTTTGCTCCATTTAGAGACATTGATTAACAATTGAAAAAAGCTCATTATTCGAAGAAAATCACCTTTAAATTTCTAATAAAAAATTATAGCAAAAATATGCATCGACAAAAATTTTGAAAGTGTCTGCAATAACGTTTTTACGAGAAATGAACTTATGGATCGATATTCAACGAAAACTGAGTTTTTAGGAGCCACCCTAACCTGCTTGTTTAAATTAATCATAAGTCATGAACCATAGGATATAAAAAATTGGTGTCTTGAGCAAAGTTGTTTCGAATTGATGTTTCTACAACTTTTAACCTAAGTTGGTCTATCTCAAATAATAAAAAAGTTTGAATTTTAAATTCACCAATTTCATTAACCACTCTAATTCCACTAATATGAAAAGATTGGCCAAATATTATGAAGAAACTTTTCCAAAGGTACCATATACCTAAAAGTGATGGTTTGGGCGCAAATATGTTTGTCTTCCTAAATACGGCTTTGCAACCATTGTGCAGTGTCAGTAAGAGAGAAATGAATTATGTGTGCATGTAGTTATAAATACTTTTATAACAATTATGGGCGGTAGGATTTGAGGTGAAAAATCAGTCAGTTAGCAGCTCACAATTTACCATGACAGCACTGGTCCATCCTAAGCCTTAAAAACCTCTTCAAAACCATGATAAAACCAAAATTGATACTTGTGAAGTTACCTTCGGCATGTGTTGGGTAATTATACTAGGCAATACTGGGTGTCTTCATAGGAATTTCAAGATAGTTTTGATTGCCTAATTTTATGGAATCTACCAACAGAATGTTGAGAAAGCATTTAAAGGAATTATGAGGCAAATCCGAAAGGACTTCTTAAAACATATGCGACTCATACTGATGTTTGTAAATCAATAGAAGCCTTAATCTGAGGATAGCTTAAAGGAATCATGAAAAACAATCTAATGGAATTCTAAAGAGAATATCAAAAAACTGTTGGGAGCATTCGTAGGAAATTTTGAGGAGAATGTAAATGAAGCTCGGAGGGCTTTCCTAGGAAGTTTTGAGGAGAATCTCAAGTAACCTGAGGAAGAATGCTGAAAGAATGCTGAAGAGAGTTCCTAAGAAATTTACAAGGGGATTCTGACGAAAAGGTTTTCTATGATATGTGATGCAGCCATGGTTTATGTCTAGTTTATTGAAGCAACGTTGCAAATACTCATTTCAGCTAAAACAATGTTTTTTTTTTTAATTATGAAATAATTAGATGCTATGATCATATTTTGAATAGGTAAGATACAAGAAGAGGTTGCAAAGAATGTGTTTGACATATTTAACCTGTTTATTTTACTTCATGAGAGTCACAATCAACGATTTTTCACAAACTCACTCACTCACTCAGCGATCAGATTATCGCTGATTGAGATTCATAGAAAGCAAAATTTACAGTTTTTATGTTTCAAACGCATACTACGTAACCTCTTCTACAAGTAAAACATGTCATCATACCATCTTTTGGTTTTATTATTCTGAAAAAAAAAATAGTTTAGCTGAAATGAGTATTTGCAACCTTGTATTGAAGTACGAGTGAAATTCTGGGAATAAATTTTCACTAATTTCACCAAATTTTATAGAAGCTATTTCAATTTAGAGAGGAAGCAGTTAAAAAAAGTATGCTAAATATAAATTTTTCCGGGAAAATTCTACATATCTAGACAGAGCTGGATTTAGGGCGAAACAGCTTTTGTACACAATGACTCCTCTCGATGATTTCTCGGAAGTCATGGCTCTCCCTGGCAAATCGACATCACCATCTAGTAGAGGAAGACTTCTCCTACACAGCAAAAAATAAATTTTAATATTACATCCAAGAGGATGCACTTCAATCATGTCGAAAATCTCATGTAATTTTTATGGCCACTACAATAAACAAATGCAGTAAAAGCAGCGTAATGTCAGTTTATGCATTGTATTAATGGTAATTTTGTCCTTTTCGGCAATTAATATTAAACCATACTTTTGACATGATTGAAGTGCATCCACTTTGATGTGATATCATTTTTTTTTGCTGTGTACCGAATGGATGTGTTGGTTTGAGTAGGCGTGCCTTGAATTTCGAGAAATTATTGTTTACAAAGGCTGTTACGCCCTAATTCCAGTTCTATATAGATTTATCATTCCCGGGAAATAAACTTGGCGAAGAACTATCAACAAAATAAAAGAAGCTTCGAATGGATGCTGATGGAACCTTTTTGGAGAAGTTGGTAAGATCATTAAAGGGCAGTCAGAAAAATGATCCGGATAAAGTTAGAAGAAACTACCAGAGGAAGCTGACAGTCTCGGGACATCCAAGACGGCAGAAATTTCCGGGGCAAGTCGGAAGAAACTTTCAGAAAAAGTTTAGAGAAACTTTCAGAAGAAGTCAGCAGACATTTCCGTGGAATGTTAGCAGGACCTCTGGTGGGGTCGAAATGAGCTTTCAAGATAAATCTTTAGAATTGGCTTATGTCAGTCAGCAGAAAATTCCAGATAAAGTCTAGAAAAACCGGACACTTACTTCCAGGAGAAGTTGCAGGACTCTTCTGGTGGAAGTCGTAAAAAAAAACATCCTAAAAAACTGCCTATACGGAAAGATGAAAGTAGGTTCAGGTAAACATTCCAAGAACACTAGAATTAATTTCCAGGAGTGGCCATAAGATTCTTTTAGGGGAACATAGAAATTAACTACCAGGATAAGTTGGAAGAATCTTCCGGAGATAGTAAAAAAAAAACATCCGATGGAAATCACAAAAAAACTTCCAAGTACTTAGAAGAAACTCCTGCAAAAAGTCAGCAGAAATCGGAGAAATTTGTCAACAAAAAATCTGTTGAAGTCGGATGAAAGTTCCTGGCGTAGTTGAATTTAAACCTTAAACTGCCCTTCCCTTGCTCGCCAGTACTCCTACACAACAACAACAAAATAATTTTAATATTACATTCAAGAGGCTGCACTTTAATGATGTCGAAAATCTCAGGTAATTTTTATAGCCAAATCAATAAACAAATGCAGTAAAAGCAGCGTTGTCAGTTCATGCAATGTATTAATGATCATTTTGTCCTTTTTGGCAAGTAATATTACACCATATTTTTGACACGAATGTAGTGCATCCACTTTCATGTGATATCAAATTAATTTTTTGCTGCGTTGTGAATATTATAAAGAATCGTCTAGCCAAATTTAAGCGAATTCTTGCAACGATTATTAATGATTCCGAGAGCACTATTGAAAGAATTTCAAGAGTTTTCCTGAGAGAAATCCTAAATCACTGAAGTATTTTATATAATACTAGCTGAGTGTGCCCGGCCTTGCTCGGGATTCAATATTAGCTTGTGTTTATGCGCCAATTAAAAAAAGCATCCTTTATTGTATGTAGCCCCCCTCTTATCTAAGGGGCTACCCCCTATGACCTCCACATGCCAAATTTGGTTCCATTTGCTTGATTAATTCTCGAGTTATGCAGAAATTTCTGTTTCATTTGTATGGGAGCCCCCGACCCTTAAAGAGGGGGGTTGGGGTCTCAAACCATCATAAGAATCTTTCCCTGCCCCAAAAACCCCTGCATACAAATTTTCACGCTGATCGGTTCAGTAGTTTCCGAGTCTATAAGGGTCAGACAGATCGACAGACAGACATACAGAAATTTATTTATATATACACTACCGATCATAAGTTCAAGGACACCCCCAAAAAACCATACAAATATGTTTTGTTCAATTTTCGATCCCCAAAGCTTATTTGAATGTTATGAATGGTGTAGCATTAGGGGGTCCATTAATTATGTCACGCAAATTTGGCCCATGGTCAACCCAATTCTGAGAAAATCAGTCACGATTCTTCAGAGTAAATTTTGAAAAATATTGTAACTTTGGGTGAACTTTAAGCACACAAAATTTGAAAATTATATTGAACAATTTGCCTACGAGGAAAGTTCCATTCAATACCTTTCAAAAGATCTAAAGAGAACGAAAATTGGACGTAACATGACATAGGTATGAACATAACAAATTTGTCATGTTTTTTTGGAGGTGTCCTTAAACTTATGATCGGGAGTGTAAATAGATTTCTTAGAATATTGTCTTCAAAATTTTGACAGTTATTCAGAGATAATTGTGAGATGCTTCAAAGGGAAAGAGAAAACTAATAAACATAGGACGAATTCAAAAATATTGAACTCTTACTTTTTGTAATATTTGAGACCCCCGAATCCAAAATGCTAAAATTTAGACTCCAAAACTTGAAGAAACATTAAGTATATTTTCTAAACCAGGTGCTTGATGAAATGAAATAGGAAAGGAGCGTCATTTGCATGGATTGTCAAAATGCATAGTAAACCGTCAGTAGACGCCGAACATAAGATCCCTTTTTGTTTGTATTATGAACATACTGAACGTGATAGAAATTGTTTAGAAGAGGTTGATCTATAAATTCAATGTTGTTCGTTTTAGAAACTTAAAATCAATCATGAAATGCACACTGTTATGTTATTTGTCTGTAGTGTTTTTGCATGTTATAGAACATCTGTGTGAAAAATAGCCTTGGCAAAATGGTTGATTTCCCCCTCAATACATACATTATTATAGAATTGCCCCCTCTAAAACTTTGATAAAAAGAGAATGTTACTTGTGTTTTCATTGTTATTTAATTAAAACAATAAGGTTACAATTACTAACAAGCAATCAAATTTGAAGCCACCCCATACCTTACTCATTTCATGCTTCAATTATCAAAATCCTATTTCACAACATCTCTGCCTTCAACCACACTCCGTTGGCCGGTCCAAGGATGAAGTTCGTCCTCGAATACTTGACCGGAATCTGCGTTTTGTCGCACACGCTAAACCGGAACCTCCTCAACAGACTGGCCAACCCAACGCGGGCCTGAATCGTTCCGAATCGCATTCCGATGCAAATCCTGGGCCCCTCCCCGAACGGCAAATAACAATATGGATCCCGTTTAACCACCTGTTCCGGTGAAAACCGATCTGGGTCGTATGCCTCTGGATCGGGGAAATGCTCGGCATCATGATGAATCGCGAAGGTGGGGATCATAATCTTGCGACCTTTTTTGATAACCACATTGCTATCCGGCAGACGGTAGTCCTTATCGGCGTTCCGCTCCAAGATGGCCACCGGAGGATGTTTGCGTAGCGTTTCTGCAAATGAAAAATGATGCGCGATAAAACAGTGAGTTGAACTTCGTGATTCTAATACACACCGTTAATACACTGATCGAGATAACCCATATTGGCGGCGGCTTCGTACGTAAGAGCGCCATTGTTCGCAGCAAAGATCTCGAGCACGCACTTGCGAGCTTTTTCCTGGGCCTCCTGATTGAGTGCCAGCTCGTACAGGGTATAGGTCATTGCGGTGGAGGAAGTGTCGTAACCGGCAGTGAAGAATATAAACGCCTGAGCTGCAATCTCTTCGAACGAAATCTTTCCGATTTCTTCACCGGATTCTTCCAATCTACCCGTGTTCTTCAACTTCAACAACAAGTCCATAAAGTCACTCCTAATAACATTATTCTTTTCGCGATATTCAATCGTATCCTTTGTAACCTTCAAGAAGAACGAGGAAACGTCCTCATGAAGTTGCTTCATTCCCAATGCATTTGCGTAGCTTCGGAAAGCCTTCATTAGGTACACCACCAACGGCGAGTGAGGCAGCTTATCGAATGCAATCTTGCCATACTTCCTGAATTCATTATCCGGATCTCGGAAGCTATTGCAATCGATCCCGAAAGCACACGTTCCAATCACATCAATCGTATACCTGGACAGCAGATCATGCATTTCCACCTCATTCCCTCGCTGCACGACCTCCTCCAAGTGATCGCAAAACTGCTGACACACCCCCACCACCAACGGGAAGGTCATCTTGATTCTGCCGCTCGTAAACGTCGGAGATAGCTTGTTCCTTAGCGTTTTCCATTTGTTTCCTTCGATGGCGAACATGTGCGCCGAAAGAGGGTCATCCTTCTCGTTGAAATACACTCCCCGATTAGGGAAAGAGTTGAAATCCTTTACCAGCAGCGTCTTGATCAGTTTCGTGTCTAAAATATACAGCAGCGGGGAAGTCAACATGAACACACCTCCATATGGGACGCCTTTCTGCTTGAAGTAGTCGTAGTGGCGCTGCGTAATTGGCGCAATGTGCTCCACCTTTCCGAGCGTCTTAAAATTCCCATACGGGAACTCCGGTTCGATATACTCCACTCCGCAATCCTTCCAAAAATTGAATCTCTTTTTGATCCAAAGATAACCGGCCAGCAAAGCAAGAGCAACTAGCCAAAACAGCTGAACTAGTGCCATGGCGAGATTTATTCGTCGTTACGCGTCGACAGATCTTGGTGTACTGACTGCTTTTTGCACTCAATCGATTTCTTCGCGAACTGATATTCCTTGTGGGCAGTAAGTGGACTGAGAAAAAAAAAACTGGTGTTCGTGGGCACGACCAAGCGTTGTTGTTTTGTTTTGACGCTCGTATAAGTGATAAGATGCTGCGTTGGTGATGAACAAACGGCACGAGATTGAGGAGAACGGTAAATAGACGTTAAAGGCTTAGGCACATCGTCGAGTCGAGTCGTCTTAAAATGCGAATTTTAATGCTATCAGAGGCCGGTGACTGAGCTATTTATGGAACTAGGTTGAAGAGACAATGTTAGTACCGTCGATAAAGGATAAGTATACCTAGGGGAAATAGTCCTATTATTACGGTACGTTAGAAGCGTTAGAAGCCTATTGTTGTGTATGGAGGCTCCTAACGCTTTTAACGTACCGCAAAAATAGAACGGTTTCCCCTATATGTGGACGATTGCGGTAACAATGAAACGCATTTTGATATAATTTTTTCTCCTTTGGTTTGTTTTTTCCGTGGATCTTGTTTTCCGTGCTGAGCACCAATGCTACCGACGTGCCAGGAAGGCAGCTCCCACGCCTGGACCCTACCTATCGACCCATCAACTCATGAACCGGGGACCAACGGCTTTAATTCCCATCCGAAGGAAGGCGTGATCAGAGATGTTATGCCTCCGAACATCCCGGCGGCGCCGACTGGGATTGAACCCAGGCCTGCTGGGGTGAGAGGTAATCACGCTTACCATTACACCACCGGCGCCGTTATTTTGATTAAAATAAACCATTTAAAAATAGTTCTCTCGATAAAAGGGATTGCTAAAGCGCATCGTTGAAGGTATTTTTTTATGTGTCAATATCAAGTCCCGATACAGTATATTGGAATCAATAATGAAGCCTACTATCACCGTTTCTAATAAAGTGAAAAGGAGGAATCCATGATGAATTATGTTCAAAAACAAAAATACAATTGAGCAGTTACAGTCGAAATAGCGAAAAAATAAACAAGTTATTGATAAGTTTGAACTTCACACAATTGTTCGCTCGGGGCAATTGTCCTGGAATTCGACAATTTCGGCCATTCATATCTAGCTTTTTAAAATGATGTATTTAATATTTTTCGATACATAAGTTTGTCGAAAAAAGTTCAAAATTTGTACTAATAGATTATGTTCTACGATTTTAGCCAATTTTAAAGTGTCCACTGTGTCTATTTAAGAAAAATTAGCATTTTTGATAAACTTTCATTTAAAATGTTTCATCTTTCAAACAAACATGTTTAAAAATCATATTGGGGAAAAGTAGGCTTCGGCAATACCTTAACCTAAAGGGTGATACGGTCAAAATTTGGTCAAGGGAAAACGCGTGTAAATCGGTGAAATCGTTTATTTAAAAAATCAAATTAAATTTCTTTTTCAAGTTCAATTAGTATAAAATTCAGGAAAAATATTCAGTTAGGCTTCCGCTTTTCCAAATCCGAATTGCCGGGCCTTACGCTTGACCCCTGCCATCAGATTTTGTACAGCCACCTTGTCACCTTCTTCGCCGCAGAAAGCCAGTTTGCCTTGAACTGCTGCTCGCCCTTAGCAGTTTTTTTGGTCTTCTTTAGGTTCCGCTTGACAATAGCCCAGTATTTCTCAATTGGGCGGAGCTCTGGCGTGTTGGGAGGGTTCTTGTCCTTGGGAACCACCTGCACGTTGTTGGCGGCGTACCACTCCATGGCCTTTTTACCGTAATGGCAAGATGCCAAATCCGGCCAAAACAGTACGGAACAACCGTGTTTCTTCAGGAAAGGCAGCAGACGTTTATTCAAACACTCTTTCACGTAAATTTCTTGGTTGACAGTCCCGGAAGCTATGAAAATGCTGTTTTTCAAGCCACAGGTACAGATGGCTTGCCAAACCAGATATTTCTTTGCGAACTTTGACAGTTTCATGTGCTTGAAAACATCTGCTACCTTTCCCCTTCCTTTTGCCGTATAAAACTCCTGTCCCGGAAGCTGCTTGTAGTCGGCTTTGACGTAGGTTTCGTCGTCCATTACCACGCAGTCAAACTTCGTCAGCATCGTCGTGTACAGCCTCCGGGATCGCGCTTTGGCCGTCGTATTTTGTTTATCATCGCGATTTGGAGTCACTACCTTCTTGTAAGTCGATAGTCCGGCTCGTTTTTTGGCTCGATGCACGGTTGTAGACGATACACCCAGCTTATTTGCGGCATCTCGGAGAGAGAGGTTAGGGTTTCGCTTGAAACTACCGGCAACTCTCTTTGTCGTCTCAGCGGCTTCCGGTTTTCGATTTCTCCCCGATCCAGACTTCCTGGCTGTCGACAAACGTTCCCCAAACACTTTAATTACATTTGTAACGGTTGATTTGGCAACTTTTAGCGATTTTGCCAACTTTGCGTGCGAGTAGCTCGGATTTTCGCGATGCGCGAGCAAAATTTTGATACGCTGTTCTTCTTGCTTGGACGGCATTTTGACAACTGAAGAGTGAATTCCAAAATCAAAATAGGAGCAACATTCTACACACACACACACACCTTCAAAATGAGGGGTGTTCAGGTTTTTTAAATGCAAAATTGAAAGAAATACGTCAAGTTGATATTGACCAAATTTTGACCGTATCACCCTTTATTATCGTCAGGGGATAACCAACGTCCTTGAGAGCTCAATTATGGCATGTGGATACATTGTGTTTCAGAGCAACTATTGGCCAAATTTGAGTGCTCTAGGACTTTGTTTACCTCCTGACGATAATAGGTAAAGGTATTCCCAAAGTCAACATTTCCCCTAATTGTTCATTTTTAGTTATTGATGTTTTTAACAGTTTTTCTCAATTTTGATGAAAATTTATGATTTTTTTTCTGTAAAACAATCCAGTTTCCTACAATTTCATGTTTCAAATATCATATCGATTTGATTAGTCGTTTTCGTGCTATGATTTATTGAAAAATATCAAATACGCCATTTTGAAAAAAATAGGCGTTAGTCAAAATGGCTGAAATCCAGCACAAACTTGGTGAATTACCTAGCGAACAATTCTCGCGTCACTTTTTTAGTAGACCAATGTTACATATCCGCCATTTTGAGAAAATCTATGTTCGAGTTCGACAGATTTTTATTTTAACTGTTTAGAAACAATACATTTTGCAATGCTAATGCTATTACTGTAGTCATTGAATAATAACGTTGAAAAATCAGTAGAGACGGTAAAACCACAATTTTACTTTGAATTTCGTGCTGCAATATAGAAAACAAAAAACATAGGACGTTTTGACTCGTCAAGTTGTACATGGGACTTATTAAATTGGACGATTTATTTTCCAATGACATAATCCATGAGAGTCACGTTGGACGTTTTGTTCTACATGCTACTAGATTTCCTTTCACAGATTTCAGAATAGAGTACCTAAGCTTAGATTGGTTTTCCATGCCCTGCTTTTAGAAAATGAACACAATTCACCAATGTTAGGCAGTTCAAATGTCCGAAGTAACAACTATACATTCGACAATTGTATGATTATCTTAAATAAATGAAAGTAAATTTGTATGCATGCTTTTGAATCACATATAATAATAGAAGAGCAACCTACTCACTACGGCGAGTATCCACTTGAGATTGTTCATGTCCATTCGCCACCTGATGTTTCCATGACTTCCAGGGAAAACGCCTTACCTCGTGCGACCACCGAATGAATTCTGATGTTCTTGACTACCACCTAGCTGTATCGGACCGGTGCTACGATGTCATCGTTTTTGTCGAGACTTAGCTCGATTCTCGAACGCTTTCCATCCAGGTGTTCGGATCCGAATACGAGGTTTTCCGCTGTGACAGAAATCCGAAAAACAGTCGGAAATCTACTGGAGGTGGTGTTCTCGTGGCAGTTCGTTCCGGGTTAAAGGCGAGAGCTATTGAAAACGTCTTGTGGAACTGTGTGGAACAAGTTTGGGAGGCCGTAGAACTGAGCGATCGCACACTGTACCTATGTGCGGTGTATATTGCACCTGACCGGGTTCGTGACAGCGAACTTATCGATACCCATTGCCGGTCCGTTTTCACCATATGGAGAGTGCGACACTAATTGACGAGATAATCGTTCTGGGTGACTTCCATCTACCCGGCGTTTCCTGGAAACCATCTCACAGCGGATTTCTCTACCCAGACCCTGTACACTCTGTATTTCATACAGGATCAGTTAGCCTTCTCGACTGCTATTGTTGGGAACGCGACGAATTAATTAGTTCTATTCAAAATAATGATTATTGTTTTCACCTCTCTTTGAAATAAAAATAATAAACATATCACCAGCTAGGCGCAGGCAACAAAAGCGCAAGCAATAAATATTTCTCTATGCGCATTACCTGGTAACTTTTAAAGAATGAAGTGATTACCTGCCTAGAAGAAGGAAATGTGTCGTAAATAAAGATTGTTGGAAAAACCCCAGAAGATGGAAATGTGCCATAGAAAAAGATAGCAGAGAATTTACCTACGACACATTATACGAAGGACTAGATCACCCATTAGATTTTACCTGTTAAACTTTTTAGGTTTAAGATTAGCTATATAAGGAAAATGAATTGTTAAATAAAGTTAGTTCGTTGGTAAGGCTCAATCGGTCCATTTGTGAAGTCCGAACAATCCCTTTCGTAAGTATTTTCATCAGGTATCGTTTCAATTCATTCGTCGAAGAAGCACAAGCCTACGTTTTAGTGAGGTCTTAGCCTTTGAGTTGAATTGAAGGTTGATCTTGATGCTAAGATACTTTTTTCAGTTTGTTAAAGTTTCTAATTATTCAGATATAGGAATAAGCTCTCACTTTGGTAGAGCAACTATCCTATAAGTTTAAAAGAACTTTAATATAATTGAGAATTGAAAGTTGTGTCTAAGCAATCCTGACGGATTGAGCGCACCATTAAAAAACCGTTCGCCGCGAACGTCTATCCTTCGCGTTCATTTGTTCAATAAGTGCTGAACAAAGTTTTTCAAAGTCTTCGCG